GAAAAAAATAGGGGGCTGGAGAGATGGCTCAGTGGTTAAGAGGTCCTGAGTTCAGTTCCCAGCAACCACATGGTGGCTCACAACCATCTGTAATGAAATTCGGTGCCCTCTTCTGATGTGTCTGAAGACAGCTACAGTGTACTCATATACTTTAAATAAATAAATAAATAAATAAATAAATAAATAAATAAATAGAAAAGGTAGGAAAGGCATTCAACTCTACAAAATGGAGATCTTAGCCTCTGGGATGAATTTCCTGCTATCCTGGAGTGTCTGTGGCTGGGAAAGATGCCCTTTTCTAGAAATGGAGGCTGTCGATTACCGTGAGTGTTCACCATTTTCAAGGAAATTTCTCAGCAGTCCTTCCCTTCTGATGAACTTTTGCACAGAAACTGCCTGTTTTCTACACAAAAATGACTCACAAGCTTCAGGTGGTTGGACAAAAGGTCCAGAGACCTGGGAAATGTCTGCAAACCTCTGTTCAATCTGGGAAATGTTCAATCAGATTCTCTTTGTTGAAAATAGCAGGAAGAAAACAGGCACTAAAATGGAAATGATTTAGAGAATTCTTGAAGAAGTCTTCAGGGAATGAAGGTTTAAAAAAAATGAAGCTGGTAAGGCTAAGAGATGGCTCAACAGTTAAGTGCATTCGCTGCTCTTGCACAGGACTAGGGTTCAGTTCCCAGAACCCACATTACAGCTCATGGCCATCTGTAACTCCTGCTCCAGAAGATCCCACACCCTCTTCTGGGTTCTGAGGACACCAGGCACCCATGTGATACACAAACCTACATACAGGCAAAACACTCATACACATAAAATAAACAAAAAATTTAAAATAAACACAGTGATGTCTAGACAGACACTTGAAGTGCCCAGAGGATTCTTCCATGGTTTCATTCAAACTTGGAGTCGTTTTGAAACTGAAATGTTATTTCTAATTATAGTTTTACTATGGTTCATATTTAGAGTTACTGTGGCTTTACCATAGAGGATGTTTGCAAGCTATGTCATAGTTTTATCAGGGATAGAGTCTCTCTTTTCTCTTCCTCTCTCTTCTCCTCCTCTTCTCTCCATCCTTATCTTCCCTCCCTCCCTTTCTGCTTCTTTCACTCCCTCTCTTCTCCATATACACACACACCCTTCCAATATAAGTCTGTTTCCCAGGAAGAATAAAAAGAGGTTCTAGTAGCTGTCCTTGTTTGCATCTACACGATCTTTATAGACGTCTCAAGAACCATCCACTTTCAGGAAGTTAGAAGGCCATGGTCTTGAAAATGCATGGATTTTAAGCATTGCTTGCTCTAACAAAAATCTTCCCTTAATCAAGGGGAAAGGAACAAACATTAATAATGCAACAGAATACATGGCTACTGAAGGGACTCTAGCCAGCCTGAGAATGACACACATGGCTCTGGCAGGCCTTGCTGTTCTCACTCATCCCCCTCTGCCTCTATCCAAAGTCAGTCCTTTATCCCCATAAATATCCCTCCTCCCTCTCCTTTGTTCACGTCCCCTTCTCCCTTGTCCTCTGTCTCCTGTCTTTGTCTCTTATCCCCTGCCCTCTGTCCCATTGGGGGCAAATAAATCTCCTTTGTGCTGAGAACTTGGTCTTCAGAGTCCTAAGCAGATATTTTCCCTTACAATAACTTTGTGGGGGTTGCCTTTATAATCCTTTGGCTAACAATAGCTGGAGCCTTACCTAGAGAATTCTGTCTGGGCTGGTCCTTTTTAATAAAAAGCTTCTAATATATTAAAACCAAAATTTGAGTCATACTGATGAATCTCCGAATGACCCCAAACCTGCAACAAAATAAGAGTTGTTTTAAAAAGTAAGCCCTGTTATACTGAATTTTGTGAACCATGTGTTTCCTTCAGGATGATGAACAAAGTAGAAAAAAATTTACTTCAAAATGTAAATTAAATTGCTGGAATATTTAAGGTTGGTATCACTCCTAAGTATGTTAAATAGCAGTCTCCTTTGAGATCCAAACATCCCATCTGGCAAGGAAGTTTCTTAAGACAGAAAATAAACAACTCAAAACAGCTTCAGGAAGTCCCTGAAACTGACCAGATTTACTAGGCCCCCTCATTCCCAAAAGTAATGTTCAGAAAAAAACAAGCTGCCTGGAAGAAATGTAGACCAATTGAGTCACTTGGAAACGACACTCTCCAACCTGCTGAACTGTCTACAGGCTGTGCAGCGTGCTCCAGGTTTACCTACTTTGTGAGCTGTGACACATGCTGAGGTGAGCTTTGGCGATGCAGCTCCATTTCTGGTCCTGTAAGTAACCCCTTACCCATATCCCTGTAAGTAGCCCCGATAAAACTAATTGGTTCAACAAGTTGGACTTTGGTGGTATCTATACTTTGGTCTGTCATGGGTTCTGTTGGACTTTGGTAGTCAGTGTCAAGAGGAGGAAGTGGTCAAATAAGGATGTTGGTGGTTAGCTTTAGGGATGTAATCTAGTGGGTTTTAGCAGGGAAGAGGGAATGGGGAAAGGGCAAGGCCTGCCAGAGCCGTTTTTGTCATGCTCAGGCCCCTTCATTACATAAGAGAAGACTGGACGAGCATTAGAACAAAGATGTGCCACCTTCTGCTCCGAGCAGACAGCTGAAGCATTATATGGACAATTTGGAAACATCATTAAAATCCTAACCACAACTGTATTCCTATGATGCCACATTCGGCTCTTTTCATCAAATATTATCTTTTAAAGTCCATGTTTTATAAGTAAGTAAACTGAGGTGAGGGAAAGAAACCTTATGTTGCCCATTAATCTTTTCACTACTACAAACTAAAACCCTTTGTGGGCATTCCAGAGTGGGAGAATAACACTCTCAAAGAAGGATGTGGAAGGATGGTCCAGCAATTATGGGCATTTCCAAGAGAGCCTGGGTTTGGTTCCCAGCACCTACACAGCAGATCACAACTACCTGTAACTCCAGTTCCAGGGGCTCTAATCCCTCCTGACCTCCTCAGAATCAGCCATATATGTGGTAGGACCCCTCCTGGCCTCCTCAGAATCAGACATGCATGGGTACACTTACATACATGCAGGCAACACTCATACGCTTAAGACAAGTCTTTTAAGGATCTCTCATCTACAGGACTCTCAACAGGCTTACCCCTTTTTCTGAAAACAGTAGCATTCAGAGCTATTTTTGAGAGCCCCCCCAATAAAATAAGTAAATGCTAATCAGAGTTTATTATCTTTATTTCATTAATATTATTCATATCTCTGGAAATGTACCAGAAAGCACCACAGCTATCTTCAAAAATACTGGACACATTTTCTTTTCCTTTCGATCAAACAAATTAACAGGATTTTTTGTTTAATTCTCTGAAAGTGGAGTTCAGCACCATACATTAAATAAATGTCCCTGGCTGGCTTTGGGGGAGCTTGATCAACCCCTCTGGTTCGTTGAGTGCTTCAGAGCACTTCTTTCTGAGACACACACACCAAAATAAATAAATTAATTAGTTAAAATAAAATAATGATGATCACTCTTTTTAAGAACCCAAGCCTCAAAACTCACTGACTTCTCAGGACTCAAGATTTTGAAATCAGGACACTCTTAAAAATGAAGTTGTTATTTCTCCAGTCCAGAATCTCTTCATCTGGATTTAGCTGTTACATCACTCCTAACCCTGTCAGCTTCATGCTATAAAGGCCTGAGAGAATAAGGCTCCTGGGTTTGGTGAAACCACAGGGTAACTGTGGTTTGTTTTGAGCTACTGATCTCTGCTGGGTTACCATTCAGACGATGTACTCTCTCTCTTCTCCATTTTTATAAATTAAATATTGTTAATCCCTGTTCCCCTTCCTTTCCAGGAAGAACTGTGCCGTGATTGTGTGACCATTGCTCCTATCTAATGGGTCTTTCCAGAGAACCCTGAAACCACTTGACAGAAGGTAAGATGCCAAGTACACGAGATGCTACTACCTAAGGCATATGCATAGTGTACGTATCTATGTATAACGTATCTATCTATAGTGTTCAGATCTATGTATAACTCTCTGTAAGACTAGGGCCAAAACAATTATATGAATAAACAAACAAACAAATAAAGCTGCATTGGTAATTTGGAATTCTGGATGTATCTAAATACCTGTCCTAAGATGTTGATTTGTACTCCACTACCCAATAGCCACTATCCCCCTTTTCTCAATTCACATAACCCCAGTATCCATCTAGGAATATGGTTACCCAGATGAAAGATTACAATTCCCAGCATCCTTTGATTGTGAGGTCATGTGACTATAGTGTGGCCAATGAGATATAGTAAGTACTGAGGGGGAGGGGACTTGTAAAGCCTCCTTAAACAGGTCGAGTCTGCTCCTCTTTCCATCTCCACTGCTATGACTGAGTCGTAGTCAACATTCAGTAACTGAGGGGCACTGAGGACCACACGCCACCATCCAGTGAACCCCGGAAATCTTCATAGGGTCTTGGGATGGGCTGCCTCCAGACATCTGCAAAAGAAGGAAGTACATTTCTCTCCTGTTTAGTTCACCAATGTTTGTGGCTTTAGATATATGCAGTTCTATCTAAAATACAACGATGCTCCGTCTTTAGATTAGTAGCCTAGCTCCCTAAGTGTGTCGCTCCATCCCCATCTATTTTCTTGGTGGATTTGGTCACCCCTGAGCTTCTTCATCTTTTCTGTCACATTTAGGCACATACTCCCCTGGGTCATAGGCACCAATGACACCTTCGAGCCCATGAAGGAATTTGCGATGTATCTTCATGTTGCACATAAACAGTCCTTCTAGGGCAAAGAGTCAAGAAGCATTTGTATTTCAGATGCACTGCTTTGGCACAAGTCGCTTTTCTGTTTTCCACCGTCTTGGAATAATGAAGATGGTGGGATACACCAGTGTGAGCTAGGATGTTCCAGGACTGTGGAGGGTATTAGACAGTTTAAGGAAAGACTCTGCTAGATTCCGTAGGATGACTATAGACTACTAGGGCCTGGGAACGAAGTCACTGGCGGTCTAGACAGTAGAGGTTTCTACATCCTGGATGGGGTCCTTGTTGGAGAGATTGCCTGAGATATTATCAGACTCCAGCAGTTCCACAATGCTGTAGGGAGAACAGTCCTCCAGACCCAGCTTGCTGCAGAGCCAGCCACAGAAGCCTTTCTCCATGTCACAGGCAGCTCGCCACCATGCTGCCCAGGACCATGAGAGCTGGACCACAGCGGCATAGAGCCCCAGGGAAGAGGCCATGGCCATGATGAGCACTGGATAGAAGAGAATGAGGCACGGACAGCAGGAAATCTTATGCCAGAAGGTCCTTTCTTCATTGTACACAAGAAAGATGTTGTACCAGGTGATGGTGCCATAGTAGAAAGATACAACAAAAGAGAGGACAAAGACCACAGGCAGGCAGACCAGTGTCCAGAGGACCACATGTGGCCCCTGGTCTGCCCCCACCTGGCAGGCCCTTCTTCCTTCAGGTGCTGCTTCCCTTGACAGCTCCTTGGGTTTGGTCAGCTCCTGCAGCTCCTTCTCTGTCAGAGTGACGTGGATATCCACCATCTGACCCTTCTTCTTCCCTCTTGTGATGGTTCCAGTAAGTGTGACATAGCGGCTGTCCAGAGGCACATTCCACACACCTGCAGCGCACAAAGGAGATGAGCATCAGGAACTGAGGGATCCACGGTTCATCTCAGTGCCATCCTGAGGCCAGGCCTGAGTGAGAGTAGTACAGCCAGCAGGTCAGCAGCAGGCTTCAAACAGATCTACTCCCACAGAGATCGCTGGCTCCACAGTGTGGGCCCTGAGAAAACGGTGAGCAAGATTAACATGTCCTTCCTATTGTTTCTACATTTTTCTAGACCACAGCCTTGACACAGTCTCTGTAATAGGGAGACTGGTGAAGAACCTCTTCACCACTTTATCATGTTCCTGTTATGAAGGCATTATTTATGAGTATTGACCTGTGCATAAAATGTGTGTATGTATATGTACACCCTCTCCCTTCTCATGCCTAGTTCTGGGTTTCCCTGAGATGGAGAACACGATGTCTCATGTCTATAGACACCCTAGCTGTTAAGTCTAAGTGAGTGTTAAATATACACTCACTACACACATCTACACACATATACAAACACACACATATACTGTGATGGTTTGAGTAGACTCCTACTTGGCCTATAGGAACTGGCACTATTAGGAAGTGTGGCCTTGTTGGAGTAGGTGTCTCACTGTAGGGGTGAGCTTCAAGGTCCCCTATACTGCAGTCCTCTTCCTCACTGTTTGTCTTCCCAGACTAAAACCTCAGCGATAAGCACAGGGAGACTGCTCATGTTGTCCACTCTGAGCATGAGTCTTAACATCTATCCTACGTGAACAGGCCTATCTAGTACTGCATGATGCTTCTTAACACAGATAACCCACAGGCTCCATAATAGCAGCAAATATTCTTATACGTGGAGGACAAAGATATAAATTTCATGGTGGAGATCCTAGGAATCTCTGCGATACACAGTCTGTGTACTGTGGATCTTCATAAATCGTGACCAGTTCCCTACAGTGCAGCTGATAGGACTCTAACTGGTGCTCGAGGAGTATGACGGTATTATCTAGTTCCACATAATAATACTGCCATATTCTAGTTCTACATAATAATACTGCCATATTCTAGTTCCACATAATAATACTACCATATTCTAGTTCCATATAATAATACTGCCATATTCTAGTTCCACGTAATAATACTGCCATATTCTAGTTCTACATAATAATACTGCCATATTCTAGTTCCACATAATAATACTACCATATTCTAGTTCCATATAATAATACTGCCATATTCTAGTTCCACATAATAATACTGCCGTATTCTAGTTCCACGTAATAATACTGCCGTATT